GAACAGGAACCTGCTGTAAAACAGCAGTTATGCTGAGTCAGGCTTGATTTTTAGTAATCTTTTCCTGTTAAATAAATCAAATCAAATCAAATCAATTAAATTGATAGCAATAAAAGGTTTCTATAATAAAATTTCTGGGACCATTTGAATGTTTCTGTTAATGCGTCGATTTGGTCTTAAATGTCTTTACTAATGGTCTTAAAAGGTCTTTAAAAGGTTTTAAATTTAACTTAATGAAACCTTCATGAACCCAAACACACTTCCTGCCTCTTTAAACCTGAAAAACTTTACATTTTGAGGTTAAAAATAGAGAATACCAGATTTCTGATAATATATTTGCATTTTTTACGCCTCTATAAATTTAAAGCTCTTTGAGAATTCCTTTTTTTTGCAGAATTGCATCATATTTGATCTTTTAAAGCTGTTTGACCTGTAGCTTTAGGTTTAAGCTGCTTTCTAAATCAGACTTAGGAGTTTTTCTGTAGCTATGCAGAAGTTTTGACGTCAGTGAGCACAACTCTGAATTTGTTCGAGCTTCGTTTTGTCTTCTAGATGTTGATGTTTTTTATCCTCGTTTATTAATTCCTCTCTGCAGATCACTGGATCTGACTGGTCCGCTGCTGCTCGGTGGCGTTCCCAACCTTCCCGAGGACTTCCCGGTCAGGAACAGGAACTTCGTGGGCTGCATGAGAAACCTGACCATCGACAGCAAAGCCATCGACATGGCCAGCTACATCGCCAACAACGGCACCGCTCCAGGTCGGACGCTCGGCCCGCCAATAAACTCTTTGCTGAAGTTCGGTCGGTTCATCGAGTGTTTTTTAATGTTCAGGTTGCCCGGCCAAGCAGAACAACTGCACGGACGGCGTGTGTCTGAACGGAGGCGTGTGTGTCAGCAAGTGGAACACCTACAGCTGTGACTGTCCCACGGGGTATGGGGGCAAAAACTGCGAACAAGGTGAGATTTATTTATTTATTTATTTGCTTGCAGAAATTAGTGTGGAAACAATTTAGGAAACGGGTATTTTTGCAGCTTCTGTATGGACCTGTTTCTGCTCTGTGATTCTGGAAGGCTTTCAGGAAATTGTCTTGTGCGAGATCAGAAAGGATAAGGAACACCTTTGACTCAGCGTGACTCATGCGATGGAAAGTCAAACCTCGGCTGTAGAGTCACTAAGCTTCGCCTCAGGTTTTAGACTTTTAGGACAAAGAAATCTGGCTTCACATGTCTGGATCTGGACTTAAAGGATGAAACTAAAGACCCCGCTGCTGTCTCAGTCTTCACCAACCAAACTCCGACTTTACCCACTTTYCCTTCTTTTCCAATTTCAGCTACAGTGTTGTTATTTACACAGCTGTTTGTTTTGTTCTTTGATCAAAAAGAAAACTTTGACATCTTCCAAACAATGTTTTAAAGGTGTGACTACCCCACCYCCCCTTCTCGGCTGTGAGGTAGGCAGCCAACCAGTGCCAGGCCGCAGTATCCAGTATCTGAACTGGGCCAGGATTAAACAAGCTGCAAAGAGGATTTTGGCGGCGCACGTTTGGCTTCGCTCACACCGCTGCCACCGGAGAAACTGAGATTTGAGGCAGACTGACGCATACCTGCTGGCGTTTTCTTTGTCTTCGGGTTCTAATAGATCTAATTTCAAAAAGAAAAATCGTTAATAAGATCATAAGATGAATAAAATGATGACATACTCGTGAAAAAATGTGTATTTTTTTCACTGTTGATTAGGTGGAGACACAAAACCGCTAATAAAATGTGAAAATTCCTCACTTAAATCACAAAAGATTTGGTACAAATAAAACATTTGTGGCGTACGTAGCTACAAAATAATCCAACATTTATTTGTCTCATTTAAATCTTAAATATGTCTCAATTTATTCTCCTTTTTTTGTCTTTAACCGGCCACAATTTGATTTCAAACGCCTGAATTTACCACGCTTCTGCTTTCACGGAAGCTAAACAGAGAAGAGTTCCCGACACGGGTGATGACTGACTAATTTAGAAGATAATTTGTTTCGATTGAAGTGAGATAAATTAACTTTCAGTTCTGTTCTGCGAAACATAAACTAACTGATGCGTGGGTTTAAATTGCTAAATAAAGAAGTCAAATGGATYAGTTTAATCCTCTTGAGTGGTTCAGCATTTTTTAAAGACGTTGCCTCGAGGTATTTCAGCTTTCTGGCTCTTGCAGCTAACTTCTTCAATCGCTCTATTATATTTTGGATATTTGGGGTTTAGTTACAAACMTTTATGCAACTTAAAGAATATTTAGTCATTAAAGGTTAAATCCTGTAGACTTTTACTAATGCTGCGAGTGTTAGCATGCTAACAAACCAAGCTAAACTGACTCCTGTTACCACATGCTGAAATAAACACAGAATTCTTCATAGTTTATTTGTTAACTTGTGCACTGAATATGCTAATAAGCTTAAATTTGGCTTAGCACAGTTGATAGCACAACATCTTTTCATTTTTTTAATCACCTCAGTAGAAAAAAGAACTTAATATTAGTTTCTTAATTTCTTCGTCATCAGTGATTTTTTTAAGTAAAGAGAAAATGGAGAGGGAGAAACAAGAGAAAAGTAATTAGAAAGACATCTTTTCTAAGTCAAATTATATCCTGGTTAGGATTTCTCACACAAGACTTTTTTTTTTCTATTTTAGAGAGAATACGCTTCAGTGAAGTGCGAACTTGATCCACCATTTGCTACAGGAACAAATATGTTCTTTGTTTCATAATTACAGTTCCGTCTGAGTAAACTTGTCCTCTTGATGAAGTATTTGCCCCGGGGAGGAGAGCCTAGTCAGAGTTTATCCTCTGAATTAATCAGATTAAAACACTGAATGAAAGATTAGCCTAATTCTACATGGTTRTTATAAGTTTGYYTCATGTKTWAWTTTTTTTTTCTTAATTTGCATTGAAATGAAAGTATTTCAGTTTGGTTTATTGTCGTGTCGCGCAGCGATGCCGTCTCCRCAGTTCTTCGACGGCCAGGCTCTGGTGTCGTGGAGCGAGCCGGACATTACCGTTGCTGTGCCCTGGTACATGGGCCTCATGTTCCGGACCAGGCAGCCTGCCGGGACCCTCATGCAGGTCAACGCTGGACCCTCCTCCACCATCAACCTCATGGTGAGAAACCTGCAACAAATTACCGCCAGAAAGCAAAAGTTCTTCTTTAAAGTGCCTGTGATGTCAAATTTTTGTCATAAATTTGAATTCATTTTTGGAAAGACAACACTGATAACATAAAGCAAAACAAATCTCACGCCGCTGAGATGAACKGTTGTTGAGATATTTGCATGTAAAGCGACAGGAAGTGATGTCAAAGASRAATGTCTGCATGTGATCAGAGCRTTGATAAAATGTCTGAYGACACAGWCTRTAGAGAAGAATCTGTTTCTTTAGATCATTTTGAGTCWCTATCAGAGAGATGAAGAAGAGTCAGAGTTCAAACAATGTGGGTTTTCTTTCTTAAAGAGTTCCYCTTTGATGTCACTTCCTGTTKCATTTTGGCTGAGCTAAATCCAAAAGAAAATATGCTGGTTATGTGACAAAATRGGTAAAATCGTGTATYGTGCCAAGTTTCTTAAATATAAAAATGAATTCTTCGACTTTTTGTATTTGACGGATTTGCACGTCACAGGCWCTTTAACGTTCYGTGTGTACCCACCCCCAATCCAGGTGAGCAAGCAGCAGGTCCGAATGGAGGTCCTGCTCAGGCAGCAGCTGCTGGCGTCGCTCAACTTCCCGCAAGTTCGCGTCAACGACGGAGAGTGGCACCACTTGCTGGTGGAGCTGAAAAGCGTTAAAGACGGCAAAGACTTCAAATACATGGCTGCCGTGTCTCTGGATTACGACATGTACAAGGTATGGACCAGGTGACCCCTAATCTCAGTCAGGGAACGGTTTTTACCAGGGCGTCTCCAGATTGTCCCAAAACGTTAGCGGCACAAGCCTGACGCTTGGATTTTAAACACGTCCAACAAACTCGTCCCACCAAATAGTCACGACGTCGTCGCAGACTTCTTAAAACCTGTCCGGGTTTTTGTTGCAAACCGTGTCAAGTGCACCGGATCTATGAGCATGGATTCTGACGTGCTTTAAGGGGCATGTTGAAGAAGTACTTTTGTGTTTTTAAGCAGAAGTCGGTGGAGATCGGCAACGACTTGCCAGGCCTGAAGCTGCAGACSCTTCATGTCGGAGGGCTGCCCGGGGAGGGAAACCTCGTCAAGAAAGGATTTGTCGGCTGCATACAGGTGGGTGTGAGCATGTTGAACGTTGCTCTAGTCCAGAAATTCTTAACCCATGGGCCGCAGGGCCTCAAAATAACAGTTTTTAACTTTGGGCTGCAGAGGGCCGCGGGACCGCATTGATTTTGAATAAGGTGCAATACACTTTCTCACCATTAGTAGCTGTAGTGTGCCACTCAGTTGTTTAACAACTTTTTTAATATGAAGAAGAACCTTAGAAACCTGCCGAGAATGCAAACTT